ATCATTTGGTCATGTAACATAACGATGTATTTATTTGCATTTAAACTTGGTGTTCGGAAACTTTTGGCGGGGGTCTGCGAAAGTTTGAAGAAGCTGATAGTATAAGTTACGGTGTATATATTCACGTTATTTTTTTCAACTTGATTTGCATTTATTTTTTACGTCATGCTGGTTGTCTCCAGTCACACTATTATCATATCAATAAAACAATATTCTATTTTTCTTTTAGCTTAGTATGATCTTTAAGAACCCGTTCTAATAATCATTATTTTGCATATGGGATTTAGAGATGCATATGCTAATCATGAAACCATTTTTATCGATTTGCAAAAGGATTAACAAATAATGAAATGCAGTGTGTAATTTCTAGTGAAAATTAATCCTAAAGGGAATGTTTTCTCCTGTGAAATTTACAAGTAATATAAAAGAGAATGATCATTTTTGCTCAAGACTCTTTAGCCATACACAAAGACAGTATGGATAGAACATACATCATAACGCTTGCAAAAAATATCTTCTATTTTACTAGCACCCTTATTATACATATTAGTATCCCAGATGTGAATCTATACTCATTATGTGAAAAAGAGATATATTCACTCGCATCAATCTGCCATACTAAGAATTCATCCTAGCTTTGTGTGGATACATCTTTCACCAGAAGTATCTTGAAAAGTATCTGATGAATAGAGAAGTGCGATACTCGAATAAGGATTGTAATAGAGATATTGAAAATTTTCTCTTCAGATCTTTTTAAAGAAACGGATAAATCTACACCCTCAACTGCAGATTTCACTAAGCCAGTGGATTCAGAAAATCAAATTTCCATAAATGATAATGTAATACTAATAGACGAACTAAGATTATTAGGTAGAGAGAAATAAAGTTCATCTAAGACTACTGGGATCACTAAAGAAACTTTCAACCAGGTAACTAGCCCTATTGAGGTTATGAGCACTACACCTGATAATTTTGACAATTTAGATGACTCAATTTCAAAGGACACTAGCAGTCAAATTCAACATCCTATATATGAATAATGCTCTGAAGAAATCTCCCTAGAATTCCTAAAACTAACCATTTCTTTATCTTGCAAACATGTTGTGTATTACAATTGTATCAAAAATTCTTACAAGATGTGTCTTATCTGCCTTTCATCTAAAATCTGCATAGAAATTATAGAAATTTTTCTTTGAAGTTTGGCGCTATATACAGAGATCTGCACAGGAAAATCATATTGCAGACCTGCGCAAATCTGATGTTCAAAAAATTCTCAATGTAATTTTCAGTCATTAGTATCATAAGAAAATAATATAATATACTGATATTTTAGGTTATATTAAAATTTAATGTTACTTAAAATGTAATTATATTATAATGTAACTTTGTTTACATTATAAAATTATGTCTTAACTTTAAAAAAAAAAATTAATTCAAAATATTTCTTAAATGAAGAAATAAGTTATTTAACATATATATAATAATAATAACTATATTTAGATAATCAAAAAATATCACAGATGAATTTATTACTTTATATAATATTAAACAAAATACTGTTTTTGATATTTTTAAAAAAAGGATAAGTAGTTGAATATAAATCTAGATTCAGAAGAAGCAAATAAAAAAAAAAACTTTTTTGTTTTCTTCAAGTATAGAAGGTATTTTTATTATAGATAACTAATATAATTACTATAAAATTTATTATTAATACTATTATTTTATATAAAAAAGCTAAATTTTTACATAATAATTTGAAATTAATAATTTTACAACTTCTAATAGATAGATTATAAATTTAAATAATGTAATAATTTAAAAAATATATTAAATAAAGTAAAGCAAAAAATATATAATTAAAAATATTAGATAAAATAAAAAATTTGAATGAAATTATTAAAAATTATGATTTAAATAATATTTTTAATTGTGATAAAACATGTAATTTTTAAATTTTTTTTTATAATAATAATAATATTTAATAAATTTTATTTATTCTAGAATAATATTAGAATCTTAAATCTTTAAAAATATTAGCATAAGATTTACTTTTAAAAAAAAAATGCTGGTTACTTTTCTGCTTACATGTAATTTAACTAAAACTGAAAAATTGAAACTATTTTTATTTATAAATTCTCAAAAAATTATGTAAAAAAAGAAGGAATTCCTAATTGATTATTATTAAAATTTAATAAGATTAATACAAATTTCAATATAAAATGATTATTTTAAAAATTAGATACAAAAATACAATTATAAAATCATCATATTCTTTTACTTGTTGATAATATCCTATACATATATATTATAAACAAAAATGTAAATTTAAAATATAACTGTATATTTTTTATTATTAAATACTATAATACAGTTACTAACGAAATTTATAGCATTACAAGTTGCTTATTTTTTAAGTCATAACATGTTTATTTTCTACTTCAGAATTTTTCAGTATTTATAGAATATTCTTTATAAATAATATTTAATAAACAAACAAAAAAAAGTTGTAGAAAAAATGAATTTCTTTATGTTTTTTTATTCAAAATAGCATTAACCACCCTTGAAAGAAACTGAAATACTATTAACTTTCTTTGGTAGCAAAAAATCTGAAATGTAAGAAAAATTTCACAAAAAATAGATGTTCTTTTATGCTCCTATTATTGTTATGTTAGTCCATTAAAGAAAATTAGAAAGATTACTATAGGTTATCAGTCTAGTCAACTATGAAAATTGACTTCTAAAAAACACTACCAAGTTGGAATAATCATTAAGCATAATCATTTTACTACAGCAAGTGAAATGAAGACCAACTTAAAGAAAAAATCCAGAGCTTGAAGTTAAAAAAGGGTTAGAAATTATGTATTTAGAAGAGGGGGAAGGGAGATATTTTTATTGATCACGTCTATATATGAGGTCTTTGCAATAGAAAGGGAGAAAACTCCAAAAAAATTAAAATTTTAGTTTATAAGCCAAAAATGTTCCAAATACTATA